ACTTTTTCCATTTTCATTATTATTGTAGCAAACGAAAGGATAAAATTCAATTTCTTATTTAATGTTTTCTCAATTTAATTTCTCCATGCCCCTCTTTATTTACTTCAATATTTTGATCTATTTCTAAATGCTCTATATTTTCTCAGGCAAAAGGCAGGCTTGTGAAGTCTGGAAGCTTTACACATTCTTATCCCTTCTGTTGGAGATCTGACACTCCTCTTATTTACAGAGCAGTTCCTAGTTGGTATGTCTCTTTATGATGCCTATACTTTAGTAAAGTCTAGTTTTGAGGTTCTATTAGAATCAATTTGTTGAATCCTTCAGAATTTCTTTTGGTACTCATTTCTTTAAAACCTTTTAGGTTTGTTCGGGTGGAAAAACTGAAAGAACAATTGTTAGAAAACAACAAGCAAACCTATTGGGTGCCTGAATATGTGAAGGTTAGACATGTTTCTCCATGGGATACTTCTCTTTCTCTTTGAGTAGTGGCGGGGATAAGTTCATAATTCAGTGTTTCTTTATGTGTATCATTTTGTAGATGACACGAAGGTCATACACCATGTATAATAAATTTCATTAAGTAACGCATCTCCTATTGGGAGAAGAGGAAAATGAGATGGATTTCAAATCACAATGAAAATAAAATTCACCTTCCCAATGGTGTACCTATCAGCTTTAGTTCTAAGCTCAAAATCAAAGTTTAGTTGTAGGTGTTGACATTTCTTATTATTATGCAGATTAAATTTTATGACATGCTGGTTAATTTTGCCTTGGACATCCAATAATCCATGGGAAATCAACTTTTCTGTTTATTATGAGTTTGGTGTAGATTTCCTAAATATACTAGAAATTATAATTTTTTTAAAATATAAAACTATTTTGCTATTAGAAGTCTATTATAATTTTAGTAATTTTAGGAGTTTATTCTTTTAGTATTTAGTTTATCTATTCATATTAGAATTAGTATTTCTTATTTTCATCTTATTTGGAAAATGTGACTTGCTAAGCTTTTTTTCTGGACAAAAGAAGAAAATTTCTTAAGATAAGAGGAGGAAAATACAATGAGAGGAGGGAAAGATATCCTCCAGATGTTACAGTCTATAATGGGCAAAAAATCGTAAAGATATATAATAGAAGGAATGCAAGATCTTAGGGTAAAAAATAATAATCTTCCAATTTTGATGGAGGTTGAAAATAGATAGGTTCGAGAATTTTCCATTCTCCTTGACCCATAATAATGTCAAGAAAGTCATTCTCTTCCATTGTTAATAGAATTACGTACATCAGTCTAAAAACTTTTTTCAATTTTGTGCAAGACATCGTCCACAAACTAGCAAAGATAGCCGTGATCACCACAAAGGTTTTGCTTTGGTTACTCGTCACTCTTAGTGTAGACACCTAAAAGCTCTCAACTATTGAAGGTGTGACCCACTTAATGCCAAAGAGATTCAACGTTCTCGTTTACATTTTCCAAGAAATCTGACAATGGAGAAACAAATTGGAGTGTGTTTCTCATCCTCCAAACCATGTTACATTGATGTATGGAGATAGGGCGTGGTGCGAGAGTTGGTTTTATAGCATCTCATTAGTATTGAGTCTTTGATGCATGACTATCCACATAAATACCTTTACTTTTGGTGGAACTGATACTTTTAAAACACTTTACTAGTATGAAATTGGCTAGAGGTGTGGTGTATAATGAGGTATCCAAAAAAAGACTCACAAGTGTATTCCTCTGACAGATCCAAATATCAAATTATGGTGTTAGGAAGTGAGAAAAGGTGACTTGGTCCAATTTGAGCTTTTTCATCTTTTCTCACTTCCCTCTTTCTTTTGTATGGGATATGGAGATTCTCCAATTCCCTTGGGCTAGGTAGTACAGGGAAAAGTTGATAAACTTTGATGCGGGTTTGGGGAACGTTGACTGTGATGACTAGTTAGAATGGGTTAGCTGTTCAAATGGAGCCAATAGTTGTTTGGTTTTGATTTTGAATCAAAATGGGTTCATATAGTGTCAAAAATGTTCGTAATTGTTTGGTGTTAGTTTCCAGGGTTTGGAAATGCAGTTTTTTGAGTTTTTTTGGGACATTTGAAGAAGGCAATTCACTAAGTGCCTTGGTTTAGATAGAGGTGGGGATTTGAAGTTTAAAAGGGGGATAAAGGAATAGATAGTAAGGGATATTTAATAATTTATCAACTATGAGATAGTTGCCAAGGTGGCTAGAGAATCCTTAGCAGGTGAAGCTGTTGCTTCCCTTAATGCTAAATGACTAGTGGAGTCATAGTTTGGAACATGCAAGGATCGAGGATCAAGTGAGAGCGATATGTAAAGGTTAAGAAATGGTGGTATGGGCCATCTAGCTTAGTGTTTTCTAATATAGGAGTTACACCATAATTCTTATAGCTATTATATTTTAGCAAGTTTTTTATACTTGATTGAGGTTTTAGTTCTTATTTAGTAGTAAGTCTTAGTTTGTTATTGTTCTCTATTTAAGAACTCTAGTCAGATCAGATATATAACTAAGTATATGGGTACTGTTTATAAGTATAACTAATTGATTTTTTCTTATTGAATTGAGTGTGTAACAGCTTTGTGATTGTGGTTGTGACAACCAATTTCAGGCTTGTGGCGCCTGTCAATGAATGCCATTGGATTCCTGTGGTTGTGGATTGGATTCATCTTTCTTATTTTCTTGAATTTTTCCCTCTCTTTCTGGACCTTAATTTGCTGTGCTACATCAACAAGCCAAGTTGATTCAATTATCAATGATATGATTAAGTTTTTTTATGTCAATTTTGTTGTTTTGAAACTTTTTCCAGATTGTCACTATCATTGTGCTAACCTTTTCTCATTTTCAACTTCTACATGTAACTTAAATATGTTAGAGAAAAGATGATCCTTTAACTGAGAGGTATCTATCTCTAAAATTATTATATTGAGATGTGCCCTTGTGGGACTTTCAGTTGACAGTCAAATGTGTAGCATTTTCAGGCTATTAATCTACTTATATTTCTTCTCATAATTAATGTTCATGCTATTGAACAAATACAGAAGAGGAGCTTGAAGCTCTAGAGGAGCCCCTGTTTTGTTTTCATACAAGTGGCATCTGATTTATTTCCTGAACATTTTTGTGGCGGAAACGGGTTTTGATTCATGTAGTTCAAATTCTTATTTCAACTTATTTCCTATCTCATGTGCTTTTTCTAGAAAGTTCCTATTTCTCGTACTAATTACAAGAAAATGGTTAAAATGGGTTGAGGGTATGAAAGGAGTAAATGGATTATTTTTTTGGAATTCATTTGGAAACATAAATATCTTTGTTTAAACTTAAAAATTTATTTCAAATAAATTCTGATTTGAAGTAAAACAATGCATTTCCAATTCCATCAAAATTGATAGGATTTGGAAATGAATTATGATGGCTTAAAAGAGAAATTAGTTTATTTATTTTGGTACCTATTTTCACAAAATCATTTAGGGCACATTCTAAATGAAACTAACTTTACAAAAGTGGGTTTTCCAAATAAACTCTACAAAAACAATTCATTTCTTCCAAGCCTACCCTAAATTTATTTTAAATTACTTACATACTGTTTTCACTTTTTCTCTATGTATATCTTAGATGCTCTGTCTTTGGGAAATTAAGTGTTTCTTTGTTGATGTCTTGCAGGATAAACGCTTCCATAATTGGCTGGAAAATGCACGGGACTGGGCTATCAGTAGAAGTAGATTCTGGGGCACTCCTATTCCCATATGGATCAGTGAGGATGGGGAGGAAATAATTGTTATGGATTCAATTGGCAAACTTGAAAAGCTTTCTGGTGTTAAGGTCTCTCTCAGTCCTCTTCCCTATGTGACTTTCTTTTGGGTGCAAATATGGTTGTGTCTGCATGTCTCTCTCTCTATCTATTTTATGAAAAATATGAGTGTTCTTTCCATTGGGAAAACCACCAGATCTGGTGGTTTAACGAAAGGTAGAACTGTGATTCGAGCTTAATGAGAGGGAGAAGAGGTACCACCTGTTCTGAGTCCTTACGCTGGTACATGTAATTATGGTTCTATTGTTCAATGTTGTATTTGCATTGACCAACACAT